TATGTTGTTTAATCCTGAACAACATATTTCACTAATGGTAGTGATGGTAGCATTACTACCATTAGTGATGGTAGCATCACTACCATTAGTGATGGTAGCATCACTACCATTAGTGATGGTAGCATCACTACCATTAGTGATGGTAGCATCACTACCATTAGTGATGCTACCAGTGATCTCTACCATCACTAATGGTAGTGATGGTAGCATCACTACCATTAGTGATGCTACCATCACTAATGGTAGTGATGCTACCATCACTACCATTAGTGAAATATGTTGTTCAGGATTAAACAACATATTTAATCTGACCAGGTATCCTTCGCTTGGCCCTTCCAGCTCTTCTCCAGACTCATTCAAGATGGCCGGCACCACGCCAAAGAACGGAAACGTCTGAGGACGGAAAGTCACATAGTTAGACATTTTATCAAATATATATAATGCAGTTACTTTTTTAAATAAAGTAACTGAACTATATATATGTAGCATTCTCTAAATGTGTGATTGATCAGTCGTACCATAGGATGCATCTGCTGCTAAAAACAAACTTTCTACTAAACCGTTGATTATTTTAAATTGCAAAACATGACTAATAGAAGATTTTTTTACAGAATTTGAACCAGGTGAAGCAAAAATGCCCCTTCAGGAGCTCTGGGTTGAACATATTTACAGATGAAGGTTTTTCATCTTAAATGTAAAATATTAAAAATTCTGTACAGCTTTAGCTTAATTACTGCTCTGAACTTGTTCTTTCAGTAAATGGTCTTTAGTTAACGATTAATCGGTTACAAAATGAGTTGACCAAAATGTAATAATCGGTTAATCCGATTAATCGTTTCAGCCCAACATGGTTTACATTATTCATGACATGTTTTATTAGGATGGAGGAAACAGACGGTAAACATGGATTAAACTGGTGAATTAAGAGCAACAAGCACAAAAAACTCCTTCATGTAAACTTTATTTCCTCAGCTGTTATAAGTAAAGCCATGAATTTAACGAGTTAATTTTGATTAATTACATAGATTTATATCACATTCAATGTTTTAACAGAATAAAATCACTTATTCGTTTCCTGCCAGAACCTTTGCATGAATTTTCTATGTATTTTTCCCTCCCTTAATAACAAACTTTTAAAAACTCACTAGTTGTGTTGTTTTTTGTTTTAAATTGTTCTGAAACGTGACAGACATGAAAATCCAGTAAAACGGGAGTGAATACTTTTCACACCAGTGAAAACTGGGAACCCGGACTGGATCGCAGCTGGACCAGAATCCTGTGGCTGTTTTTCTGAACTGGGCCGTTTACTCACAGCGGATCCGGGTTTCGTGGGCGTCGCCGCCGGCAGAGGAGTCAGCACGTGTCCGCCCTGAAAGCCACAAACACAGAGAGGTTGAACCGGGTCGTCATGGCGACGCAGCCCGACGGGTCGGGTCGGTACTGACGGTTTCAGTCTGCCAGAAGGTGTCGACGATCGGACATCGTTTCTCCCCCACCACGCCGTGGTACCACTGCCAGGCCTCCGGGTTGATGGGCTCGCCCACCGTTCCCAGAACCTTCAGCGATTTGCGATTGTGCCTTTAAAAAAGCAGAGAAAGGCGATTCAGGACGAGTTCGTGTCTCCGAGTTGGATCGGAAACGGGTCGCTCACTTCTGCACCGGGTCGCTGCCGTACTTCATCAGCAGCCTGATGGCGGTCGGCGCCGTGTAGAACTTCGTCACCTGGTATTTGTCCACGATCTGCCACATGCGGCCGATGTCGGGGTACGTGGGCAAACCCTCGAACTGGAAGCAGAGAGAGAGGTCAGGTCACCATGGCAACGACATAGCAACAGGAAGAGGAAAACATCTCTGCAGAATAAAATAGAAACGAGAGAAAAAAACTAACCGACGTGTTATAAATGTTCATATGTTCAAAATTAGTTGAGTAATAATATGATGAGAAACATATGATACTGAGAGTATGAAAAAAGATCCACGTTATAATATTATCAGGATACCGTCGTAACAATACGAGAATAAACTCATAATATTCCAAAATAAAGTTGTAATATTAGCAGAATAAAGCAGTAATGTTATAAGAAAAAAGAGGAATGTTGATCATCTTGTGAGTTTTTACTGTGGGATAAGTTTTACAAACCGTTTCATCTTTCTGTTTTAAAGAAACGATCAAAATGTATTGAGCTGTTCACATCAAAACGTTGCTCTCATTAAATCAGAGAGCAACGTAATAGTCATTTAGTAACTTTATGATTTTATTCTGGTAACATTGTAACTTTATTCTACTACTATTAACTTTATTTTCATAATTTCAAGAAGATACTCTGTCCTAGTAAACAAATGGCTTAAACTGATCAAAACTAAATTACAATTGAAAATGTGAATCAACAAGTTACTTCCTTAATAATTAAACTCTTTGCTCTCAGAGTGGAGTTAGCAGGAAGGTCAGTAATGAGCTAGAAATCATTAAAATTGGAGCGACGTTGCTCCCGTCTCTACAAACTAACGGGTGGAAAAAGTGAGATCAATTAACGGTTCCTCACCAACACACTGGTGGCGCCGTTGGCCAGCGGTCCGTACGTGATGTAGGAGTGGCCGGTGATCCAGCCGATGTCCGCCGTGCACCAGTAGACGTCGTCGGGCTGATGGTCGAACACCAGTTTGAAGGTGGTGGCGGCGTAGAGCAGGTATCCGCTGACCGTGTGAAGGACGCCCTGCAGAGAGGAAACCGTCAGCAAACCGCAGGAAGCTGCACTGCAAAAACACTAAATCCAACCAAGTATTTTGTCTAGTTTATGCTGCAAATGTCTTAGTACACTTTAAATAAGACAAAAGTAACTTTTCAGGAAAATAAATGAG